TATAATATGTATCATCTAATATTATCAACTCTGCGCAGGGTTATAACTATAAACACGTATCGGTTCATGCGTTTGGGTAAAAATTCAAAGTTTTGAATATTTCGGTTATCGGTTTTAAATTTGCATAACATATCGGATTATCGGTCATCGGTTAAAAGTGATATCGGCCCATCCCCAATTCTTATGCTTATCTTACGAAATCCTTTTTAGATGGCATAGATATCATGCGACGTAGGTGTGGTATAATAATATAATCCATCCTGACATTCAAGACATTTTTTTTTGTTCCATCATTGGTGATGATATTTGGGCAGTTCGCACCTATGTGAACCACTACCCTTTTAACTTATAGGAAATATTATAGAATGTATAGAGACATATAGGTACTCATGAGTAGGTCACACATCGAATTCACTAGCATGTAGGATAGTTATTTTGGATGAGTATAATATTACTACAAACATTGTATATAAATATACTAATATTAATCCTATTGATACCTATCAACATGTTGGACTATGTATAGTCCACATTAGAAAGCGACCGCGCATATGGGTTGATACTTTGGAAATAACCCGTATCTCCTTCTATGCTATAAAAACTAAAATAAAACACAACTTTCGTACACTGCATATACCCTTCGAAGTTCGAAACGTTGCTCGCTTCTCTCTGAACCTAAAATAGTTGTAGTACCTACTTAGTACGAGTATTAATATTGAACATTATAAATTTATAAATTATTTCAAATGAAATTATCTCAAATAACAACAACGCATATACCTACACAGTATAATATGATTGATATAAATCAGCCACGGTATTCTTTAATTAAATCAGTTAGTACTTAAGTATAGTTTTGCTTATTTTAATTATATTAATATTATTGAACGCATATGATCTACCTACATAAAACAATATAAATTGGAAAATAAATGTTAATAAACATATTTCAATATTTGCATAATATAGTAAACCACTAAATAAAATCATACATTTTAGTTTTAACCGACCTGCAATCGTTTATTTATCTATTACAAATACATTTTCAGCAATAGTCTATGTTTAATTAACAATATAAGTCAACTATGCCCACTTTAAAAACAAAAATAAAACTCGGCGAACTAGGTACGTCCTCAGAATAAAATATGTTATGCTCACCCTCACATAATCTATAATATTGATGCAACTCCACCCCCCCGCCACCACCTAATTATAAATGTTTTGAATCCGCGCGTGATATAAACCTTATAATTGCATGACGTGCCTATAATTTATAGTAGGTATGTATTATAATTTATATACCCGTTAAACCATACCACAGCAGTACAACATATTGTAGGTAAATGATTTTCTAATAATAATGTATATAATCGCACGCTTCTTAGCTATGACCTATCCGTCGGCCGGTATTTATCGAATTACACGGGCGTCGTGATTTTCATACAGATCGCATGGATCACTTAAAATCTATAAATAGTGCCTTTATAATACATAATAATATAAACTCATTATTCATGTCATGTACATTTGTACATGCAATACGCGTATACCATATACTGCAGGGCCCATACATAATAATAATTGCTATACGCATAATTGTAAGTACCTCGGACCTCTATAATGCAACCAGTCGTAGCCGGAAGGAATAAATTCCCGTTTCGCACGTCTGCTTCCAGCACTATAATCTGTTTATCCATTATTGTATTATTCTTTCAAATCAACCGACTCACAGATCAATTAAAATTAACAGTGTAGATACACAATATATTATAATAACGAACGATATAAACGTAAAATCATATAATAGATATTCCCAAGATTTTTACAGCAAAATATTTTGACAGTAATTCCAAGTACTGCGAGATATTAGTGTTGGTTATGCCTAAATTTCTAGTAAAATGTATTGAAATTTTAAACTGTAATATTATTATGCCACATGCCATTTGAAAAATTCTTCTACGTTGCCAAAAATAAACGTATTTTGATTTTCGAGTGACACCTGCAGCTCATAATATAATCTATGTACCTCACTACATATGTCCAAGTAGCGGTGGCTTTGTGTATATGAGAGAAAAAGGGAGGCTGAACGACGCATTATATATCTATATTAAACAAGACGCGTTCGGGTCGCGAGAAAAACGTGACTGTAGCCGCAGGCTCAGGTTAGGTGGCCGCGGCTGGAGATCACAATCGAGTTGTACCCGTCTGCACCGTGTGAATCGAATTGGCTTGCTTAAGTCGCCTTAGATGTACCTAGGAAGTTTTCAAAACGAGAAACCGCACTCCCGAGTTATCTCTTAATTATATAAATACAAACAAATATATACTGATAAAATCATTTAGTTGACGAAAAACGTGTATAATACAATTGCCTAAACTGCATTACAGCTAATGTGCAATAAAAAAGAATACCTATAGAGTCCGATGCGTATTCAACAAAATCTTCAGTTATCATTTAAAACAAATGAAAGTTGCACAATAATAACAAGACATGTGTGACCCGGATGGTTATGATTTAAAAAATAAATTAGTCAGCTTATTTTTAATCGAGTCAAGTTAATATTTTTCTCCATCTTAACTTTAAACTATATTTGAGTTGGTTAACAGATTGACATAGAAAAAAATTACGGTGTATGGGTACGTTTTTCCTGCGGATGGTGAAACATCACGAAAGCCATCACTCTACGTTTAAACACCGTCCACGTCCTAGACTAGTTTAGTTGCATCGTCCATATTTGCAACCAGGGATGGATGTTTGAGGGTATTTAGCTACCCCCAAAAATCCAAGCCATAGTTCATAATTTTTACAAAAATACTCAATTGTAATAAGTATTGTGTTACGTATAAGCTATAACTTATATATATAAAGGTTAACGCTTTTATATCTATCACGTATTTACCTATATACAAAAAAAAGTAAGCCGTCGAGGGACGATTGGTAGATTTGAAATATCAAAATTATTTTGTATAGAAAATATATGCATGAAAATTGAAAGAATGGTTTAGGAAATAAATACGGCATAATCAAGAACAAAATATTCAGATTTTTTTGAGAAAAATTACTCTTTATTTTAAAGGCTCGTTAGACACTAGATAGCTATACATATTGTAATATAAAAATAAACAATATTTATTCACTCAATTTCATATCCAATTCAAACATTTTTTAAAAGAGTCCGGAATGAAGATTAATTAGTTGGAATAGATAGATAGGCATATCAGTCTGTTATACTTGTCGGCTGTTTACACTTGTTGTGCCCCCTAAAATGTATGTGTAGTTGCCCCTAAATGGTCTGGACTCTGTGACGAAAACGTACATTTTAAAATGTTTAAAATATTACGACCTCGTTATTTTCGAAGCGAATACCAGGTCCCACTGACTGCTGTATAATATGCAGCACTTTTCGTGTTTCCTGTAATATGACCATAAACTATAAAGCCGGACGCGTGATGGCCCATTCATCTGCTTCGCATAATTGCAACAACGAATACGTTATAAAGATACTTCTATCAACGGTCTGGATAAAAATGTAATATATTCTTGTTTGACCGTGGGCTGCATGCATTATATAATTATTATATTTTGGGTATTATAACAATATCGTTGTTTTTTGTATTTTTTTTTCTTTTACTTTTAATCGATTAACAGTCGTTCAAAGGTGGTAAACACATGACGACGGCTGGTCTATATATGCACACACACACAGACACTCACATCGGACAGGTGTGTGACTGTAGTAGTTAACAACATCTGTAGTGTCGCGGCGGTCCGAAAACCATTGGGCCATCGGCTCTCGGGGGTAGATATAAATATAATGTACATAAGTACCTCCTAATATATATTATATATTGTACATTGTTGTATCCGTTGGTAAAATTAAAAAAAAAAAAACTTCTATAGTTTTTAGATGGCGAGCTAGTGTAGTCGAATAATATCCATAACACCACTGCTGCTGCTGCTGCGTCGGGAGGAAGTATATACAATATAATAAGACTTCGCTGTGGTACGCATATGTGTGGTGCAGCTAATAACTGGCAGCAAACATGTGGGAATCGAAACGCCATACTGCAGTTTCTATATATATATCATATTGTGGAAAAACGGCGATAAAATATCGCATACGGTTTAATTATAATATAAATGTATCGAAAGTCTAAAATTTAAACACCCAGCAGCTATAGTGATGATAACATTTGAGTTTCCAAAGTCTCATATCGATCATTTTTTTTTTGCGCGAATTATCAGATTTTTATTTTGACAGTATATATATAGATGCGTGTTGTAAATGTATTAATTTTAATTTCACTTGTTTATTTTATTGTGTAATCTTCAATTTAATTGAACATTTTGATGTACCTAATGCGAAATTTGAATAAGTTGTTTCTTAGTTATTAATATGTTTATTGTGTATTGTTACTAAGGATAATAGTCTTTAAAAAATATAAAATAGGTATAATATTTGCATCTAGTATTCATTATACTTTGACCATTTTTACAAATTATAAATTTCGATGTAACTATAATTAATATAATTTTTAAATCACCATGGAGTCCATCTCTTCCAAACCCATTATACCTATAAATTATGCTTAGCACACAAAGCTTTAAAATTAACACAATTAACTCAAAAACTATACTCGTTCGAATTTTTATTTAGATACGTCTTAATGCAAAAAAAAAATGATCTGAATTCTCGTCAAAAAAAACTGAAGTTCTTAAATCCAAAGAACACTCCAAGTACAAAAAAATCTCAAGAGTTTGAAAATATGATCTCTTAGTACAATATATGTAATGTATGTTATCAAATTATTTATCACTATAACTTTATTACATAACCTCAAAAATGTATAATAAAGATTCATTCGTATTTTAACCTCCGTGTTGTGTTCTTGTGCGTTCCTGACAAAACATTACATTGGCGACGAAGGGATGTGAAAACCACGTGAGTAATTTCTTTAATTAAAGAAAAAACACTTCGCAAAAGTCTGAAAAGGTCAAGATGGCTGCAAGTAATAACAGTGGTAATAGATCTAACGGAAACAGTGGCATAGGGCTAACTGGTCAGATTTCGGAATTTAACATTAAAGACGACGATTTCAGTGCTTGGGTAGAAAGATTCGAATTATTTATATTACTAAATGAGGTTAACGTGCATAAGAAAAAATTAATGTTTCTTACATTTCTGGGTAACGACGGCTATTCATTATTAAGAGACCTATGTATACCTAGTAAGCCTATCGATAAGGGATATGACTCATTAAAAGAATTGTTGTCAAATTATATTAACCCGAAACCAAACTTGCTCACGGAACGATATAAATTCAAGGAGAGGAAGCAAAGATCTGAGGAAACAATACACCAGTTTGTTGCATCTTTAAAAAAACTTTCACAATTTTGTGAATTTGGTGTAAACTTGGACGACTCGCTAAGGGACCAAGTAGTTTATGGTATCAAGGATGTTCATATTAAAAAGCGTTTGCTGTCAGAAACGAAGTTGACATTCAAAAGAAGTGTGGAGCTATCTTTATCAATGGAAGCTGCAGATAAAGATGTATCAAAATGGGAAAGTCAAGAGTTGAACTATCAGAAATTCATGAAGACAAAAAACAACAAATCAGTGAAGGACTGGGGCAAAGGAAAACTGAAAACCGAAAAGAAGGAGTCATCGAAGGGTATGTCTGGCAAGATTGTGTGTTTTTGTTGCGGTGTTGTTGGTCACACTAAACCAAACTGTAAGTATAAATCACTTGTATGTTCAAATTGTTCCAAAGTTGGACACTTGAAAAAAGTTTGTAAAATTAAAAAGAGTAATGTTAACTTATTGGAACAAGTGAATAATAATTTAAATGATGATTTTGGTGACTTAAATGTTATGGATAACATATATCTTTTAGATTCTGTTGATTGTAATTTTATTAAGCCATTTAATATTAAATTGAATGTGGGTGGAAATTTAATAAATTTTCAAATTGATACCGGATCCTCTATTACAGCTATATCGTATGATGAATTTATGAAAGTTAAATTTAAGACCAAAGATTTAATTAATAGTGATATTAGTTTAAAAGGATACACTGGTACATTAATTGAACCAGTAGGTTTTTTAAGAGTAAAAGTGTTATTCAAAGACCATGTTGTTCAAGACTTGAAATTATATATAATTAAAGGAAATGGTCCGCCTATTGTTGGTAGGGATTGGATTGATAGATTGTCTATACCGTTAACAGATAAAGTTTATTCACTTACATCTTATAGTCATGATAGTATTTTTAAAGAATTTTCTTCAGTATTTAGTACAGTTTTAGGATGTTATAAACCAAAAACTTTTAAACTATATTTAAACGATAATGTTAAGCCAGTATTTTGTAAACCAAGGGTTTTACCCTTTACCTTAAAAGATAAAGTAAGTAATGAAATTGACAGACTCATTAATGAGAAATTGTTAATTCCTGTTGAGACATCAGAGAGGGCTACCCCAGTAGTTCCAGTAGTTAAAGGGGATGGCACTATTCGTTTATGTGGGGACTATAAGGTAACTTTGAACAAATTTCTTAAAGTAGATAGATACCCGATTCCGAGGGTGAGTGATTTGATGGCTACGTTGCAAGGAGCATCAAAATTTTGTATTTTAGATTTGTGTCAAGCTTATCAACAATTATTATTAGATGAAGATTCTCAAAAGTTAACTACTTTATCAACTCATAAGGGGCTATATGTTTTTAAACGCATACCATATGGTATAGCATCTGCACCTGGTATTTTACAGCGTGAGATGGAAAATGTATTAAGAGATATTGATGGTACAGTAGCTTTTTATGATGACATTATTATATCTGGTAAATCAGAAGAGGAAGTATGTAGTAGACTAAAAGAGGTGTTAAGTAAATTGAGTTTAGTGGGATTTACTGTTAAGAAAGAGAAATGTAAATTGTTTAAAGATAGTGTAACTTTCTTGGGGTATAAGATTGATAAGGATGGACTTCATGTTCCAGAAACGAGAGTTAAGGCTATAACAGCTGCACCTATTCCTTGTAATGTTTCTCAGTTAAAGGCATTTTTAGGACTAGTTACATATTATGGTAAGTTTATTAAGAACATGTCGACAATAGCAAACCCATTATACAAATTGTTAAAAAATAATACTGCATATGAGTGGGGCAATGATCAAAATAAAGCTTTTGACGGTATTAAAAAAGCGTTATTATCTAAAGAAATATTAATTCACTACAATCCGAAATGGCCTATCATATTAGCATGTGATGCTAGCCCGACTGGGATTGGAGCGGTTTTGTCCCATAAACTACCAGATGAATCTGAGAAACCAATTGCATTTATTTCGAGAACTTTGAGTAGTTCTGAACGCGGTTATGCTCAAATTGATAAGGAAGCGACTGCTATTGTCTATGCAATAAAATATTTTCATCAATTCTTGTACGGTCGTGAATTTATTCTTAGGACAGATCATAAACCATTAGTTATGATTTTTGGTCCAAAAAAAGGTATTCCCGTTATGGCAGCTAATCGTTTACAGCGTTATGCTATTTTTTTATCAGGATATAATTATGAAATTCAGTTTATTAAGGGCACTGATAATGGTAATGCAGATGCATTGTCCAGACTTTCATTGGAGTTTCCAGATAATGCTAATAATTCTGAGTTAGACAATTATTCTATAAATTTAATAACGGAAAATATTAAATCTATTTCTGACCTGGATATTTGTTTGGAAGTTAAAAAGCATCCATTGCTTCGAGAAGTCTTCTTGAGAGTTTTTACTGGTAAATGGGATGATATTAAGGTAGTATCAGAGGACATGAAACCTTACTTTAATCGTAGAAATGAGTTCTCTATAGAGAAAGGTTTTTTATTATGGGGTCATCGTTTAGTAATTCCTCCTAAGTATAGAACTGCATTGTTAGCAGAATTACATAATACACATTTGGGGATTGTCAAGATGAAAAGTATTGCTAGATCTTATATTTGGTGGCCTGGAATCGACTCAGATATTGAAAGCATTACTAAGGAATGTATGAAATGTTTAGCTTACAGTGAAAACCCACCTAGAAGTATTTTACATAGTTGGCCATATCCAGATGGCCCATCACAAAGGGTACACTTAGATTTTTTAGGACCAGTTAATGGGAAAATGTTTATAGTTATTATTGATGCCTTTTCAAAGTGGATTTTTGTTAAGCATATGTTAAATATAACTACTAGTTCAACAATCAAGGTGTTATGTGAATACTTTGCTTATTGTGGTGTTCCAGCTAAACTTGTTACGGATAACGGTTCATCGCTATGTTCAAAGGAGATGATAGATTTTTTGAAAAAGAATAGGGTTTTTCATATCACTACACCTCCTTACAATCCTTCAACTAATGGTGCTGCCGAGAACTTGGTTCGCACATTCAAAAATTTTATTAAAAAATGCAAAAGTAATTCAGATATTGAAATGGATATTTTTAAATTTGTATTGTCTTATAACAGTACCAAACATTGTGCTACAGGGGTTAGTCCTGCTGAGTTACACTTGGGACGGTTATTACCTACACCTTTTGACAGGTTGAATTCTTTTGCTAAGTATAACTATAATAAAGGTATTGTAGTGGCAAAAAACAATTACAGAGGTTGTAGGGAAAAAGTTTATTTAATTAAAGATACAGTCATGTGCAAAAATTATGGAACAGGGGATGTTTGGGTACCTGGTATAATTCTAAAAATATTATCACCTGTAACATACTTAGTAGATGTAGGCAATGGTATGGTGTGGAAAAGGCATGTTAATCAAATAATTGATAGAGTGATTACTAAAGGTAGTGAGGTTGAAACGTTGAATGATGGCAGGGACGACAAAAGTACAGTAGATAACAAACAAATAGAATTAGATCAAGAGGTTGCATCTAATAACAATAATGTTTCATTAGACTCTGTGTCAAAAGACACATTCATAAGGAAGAGTGGTAGAACAATCAAACCACCTAAACGTTTAAATTTGTAATTTTAAGTCATTACATCAGTTTAAGTATATTATTCACTTTGGTTATTTTATGTACTTATGTTTATTTATGAAAATGTTGTTATTTAATAATAATAAAAAAAAAAAAAATGTATCATATTTATTAATTATTAAATATTTAAATTGTATTGTTAATATATTACTACATGAATGTATAATATAATATACACTGTATATTATGTATTTAATTAAGTAACTATTTAAAAATCTTTATTGTTTTCATTTTTATGTGTGAGGGAACTGTAATGTATGTTATCAAATTATTTATCACTATAACTTTATTACATAACCTCAAAAATGTATAATAAAGATTCATTCGTATTTTAACCTCCGTGTTGTGTTCTTGTGCGTTCCTGACAAAACATTACAATATAGTACCTACCTATATTTAAAAATTCTAAAAATCAAATTTTTAATAACTGTATTATTGAAGAAAATGGGGGAGAGTGAGCATGATTGGTATATAACACTCTGTAGATAATATACACTTGCGTAGTATGTATTTTTGTTTCTCCGATGAGGCACTATGTTATTATTACTATACGATATTATATTATAGCTACTCGAAACGACAAAACATATCGTTTGTTATAATAATATTATGTCTATGATATTTGTATTGCACGCATCTGATCACGAGTTTTGGTCAAATGATTAATGATCCGGTAGTGTGTTTTTTTTTTGGCAGGTATATCCAATAACATATTATATTATGCAGGTACATCAGAGGCTCAGAGAACAAATTAATCAATGCGCGAGAGGTCTCGATCCGATGGATATCGTATGCTGGTAAACGAGCCAAAGTCTTAGACGCTGCTGCAATGTCGAACGGAGTGATGGGTAGGTGGTTGCTCCTCGCCACTCTTATACATATATATAATATATACGCATTATTATCTTCTGTTCTAGACAACTATTGCCATAATATGCGTTAAACACAAAAGGTTAATCTGTACACACACGTACAGGTATACGAACTGACCGCCAATAATTTAACGTTTGACGACGACGTATAATAATTTATAGTCATATTATTACTATTATGTTTTTTTCCCGCCGGAACCTCTTGATTGATTAATAGATCGACTATGTCGATTAATCGACAGTGCGCGGGTACGTATGCATAATAATAATAATAATAATAATAATCGATTAGTAAATAGAAAAAATGTATAAACCCGTCCAATCACTGGCGGGAGATCGACGGCGGCGCACTGCTCCAAGGTATAATGCTCTTTTATATTACGATCTCATCCGGACGATTGTTTTCGGTATTTTTTATTTTTCGTATTTCTTTTCGAAACGATTTCCTTGCCGACGCGAGACAATAAAATATAATATATAATAATACAATAATATACGGAAATGTGGCTGCAGGTGCCTCCTGTACCATTGATTTCTGCGGGTAAAGCATACGCCCTGCAGACTATGATAATATATCTATAATCCATAATATTAAAGACTCGATAATCTGACGAACGAAAATAATGCATAATTTTATTTAATTATTTATACACATCAACACATCATCGTCGTGCCTACCATATCCGCTGCTTTGTTTACTATATAATAGCGTTTAACATAGGTACAATATAGTATTACAAATAGTGTAATAAAATAATATAATATTATGGTTTCATTGTACTCAGGTACCTATAATAATATAAACAATAATAATAGACTATTGTGAGTATTATTTATCTGTATATTATTAAATTATTATATATTATGCTGTGCTATAAAATCTTCACAATCGAAAACTTAAACAAATAAAAAGCCGTCGCATTGGATATTTAGGTAGTTGTTTTTTCAAGGATACGTACCTATACGTTTTATCATTCGGAAGTCGCTTCCCCCGTCATAACTTTGGCAGGAAAAACGTTTGCCGGCAATATTATGAGACGGCCGATAGACTATTACCTTTTTACAATGTCATCTTTGAAAATAGGATAGGCGCCTACAACTGCTTTTGATAGAGTTTCTAAGATTCGTTTACTTATAAGTTATAATATATAATTATTTACTAATATCTATATAATCCGTATAATTACCTACCATTTTTGCCTGACTATTTTATAAGTTAAAAAATATAATATCTCTGCAGCTTGTGTACAGTTCACTCGGGACACTTTTATTCACTCGATCGGGAGACATGCGTTTTTACTCAGGTACCACTCGACCACACGTTAAAAATCGAATGAAATTAGAGACCTTCTCAAAATCAAATACAATTAGTGACTTGCTCCTTCCCTACTCTTCTTATATAATAATAAACAGAACCGACTTACAATATACTTGCGTTTTGAAAGATGAAAAAAATAACTAATATACCATAATTTAAGTTTCTGTTTTGTTTTTTAACTACTCGTTTTAATTTTGCAACAAATGATTTAATTTTTCAGTAAAAACGTTATTATTCTTTAGTATATTTATGAAAATGTATAGTGCTTTGATGCAAACAGACTTCTCCCGCAATGTATTTAATATCATAATACGTATTTTTGTATAGTCTAATGATTTTTGTTTTCAATTAAGTCCTGCATGTGTCACACACCACAGCAATAATAAAATAATTTAACCAATAATTAAGGCTCGATTAGAAAACAACATATGGACTATAACATTTGTTCAAGTGGTATTATAGTTTGACAACACATATTAAACATACTTAATCAGACACTTTATATTCACATTATGGGTTTAGTGTATCACCTGGATCGTATATCGTTATTTAAATAAAACAAACTTTAAATTATAATATATTTATCTAGTTGATTGGTCGATTTTATTCCTAATTGTTATGGGCCTGTTTACGTCAACAACGCTTTTGGTATTTTCGACCTTAAACCTATTTTAAACCTAAATATCTGTGCCCCTCTCGAACCGGAATGCGGTGATCGTCGTCGGAAGTTGGATGGGGAGTAGGGGAGGAAATTTTGACCTTGTGGAAATATTTCTCTTTCGATTTGACCACACAAGAGTGAGTTAAAAAAAACAATATTTTAGGAACCTATTATATTATAAGCTAGCAAAAACAATTTCGTTTGACGCGGACGGCTGCATGAGTCCAAAACATCTAAAACGACACGTTCGCTGTGTAGTGTATTTGCGTAAAAATATACTTAACCAAAAAAAAATGAGCAAAAATTAAAAAAATTCTACCTCTCATAATATTTATAGGTTTGTACGTACCCACGTTTAGTAAATGTATTGTATATATTGTAATATATGCTGCATACAATGCAATGTATATCATAATATATTTATGAAACCATCACCGCCACCACCGGGTCCGGTACTGTTTTGCTTTGAAATCGGATAACCCGCCTAACTCGTTTTCGAAAAAGATTTTTTTTTACATTTGCCCCGGGTACCTACCTATGTATAATGTATACCTACCAAATTGTATTTCGTATTAAAATTCGGCAAACGAGACCCCGATACACGGCGCGACCATACTATTACATATTATTATAATACAGCAACTATATTACACCATAATATACCGGGTGTTTCTTTTATCAAACAACACTCATTATTTCAAAAAGTGTAAATTTTTTTGAAGATATTTTTTTACATAGTTTCAAGTCGCTTATAAAACAACGTTTATATTAAAAAATTATATTTTTAATTATTTTTTATCCTTATAATTTTTTAAGTTTTTTACTTTTTTGAATGACAACATAGGGTTTTAATCTTATATTCTAAAGTAGAATATTTTTCTTAGTATTTTGATACATGAAAATTGAATTTGAGGCGAGTAGTTTATGAGTTATAAGTATTTAAAGTTTAGACGAGCGGAGTGGAGTGGTTCGGGGTTACCCCGCGAAATGTTTGTCCACTTCACCGCTCGACTAAACTTTAAATACTTATAACTCATAAACTACTCGCCTCAAATTCAATTTTCATGTATCAAAATACTAAGAAAAATATTCTACTTTAGAATATAAGATTAAAACCCTATGTTGTCATTCAAAAAAGTAAAAAACTTAAAAAATTATAAGGATAAAAAATAATTAAAAATATAATTTTTTAATATAAACGTTGTTTTATAAGTGACTTGAAACTATGTAAAAAAATATCTTCAAAAAAATTTACACTTTTTGAAATAATGAGTGTTGTTTGATAAAAGAATCACCCAGTATAATATATGTAGGTACGTATTTAGCACATTAAATTTTTGTTTCAATAATGTTAAAAAAACTCGCGGCCTTGAAACTATATATAGGTACATATTCTTAAATATATATCAAATACCTATATAATGTGGGTACATAAATGCTGTGGTCGGCAGTGTGTCTGTGTGTCTATAAAATATTACATCCATATAGATTATTATATAGATGACTATTAAAGCTGTATTATACTATTGTATGTATAACAATTTATTTATTTAATATATATAAAATTCTCGTGTCACGATGTTAGTTACCATACTCCTCCGAAACGGCTTGACAGATTTTTATGAAATTTTATATGCATATTCAGTAGGTCTGAGAATCGGCTACTATCAATTTTTATACCCCTAAGTGATAAGGGTTGTCCAGAAAAAAATAAAAATAAAAATAGTGTATTATATATTGGTTGCTATTGGTTAATCGGGAATGTTTGTTGATTTGTATTATTTTTTTTTGTCAATATATATATATATATATATATATTATAAATGAATGTTTGTGAGTGAATTAGACCTCTGGGAAGAAGATGGGCTAATTTAAAAAGGGTTAAATTTTGTTTTTTTTTATTCATCGGATTTTAGTACGGTTAGGTCAGGTTAGGATTTTGTATAATTGATTATATTAATCCACCATAGGTGAAATTAAGTAAAAATGACAAACTTGGTATAACTTTGATACTTTAGAGTTAAATCATATACTTATGTTCAAACAGCACAAGCACGGGATCCGCGATCTACCGCAGGTAGATTGCCTACTTCATAATGTACTGCTGCGAATCAGAATTTTTATTCCGGCAACAGAAAA